TTAATCATCAAACAAATTAGTTATACATCCAATCAAATAATTCGTTGATTTGACAAGAAATAATAGCATATAAAATTGCTTTATGTACTGTCAGTCTGATGTATATATAAGTCTTATGTTGATTTTTTTTAGCTAAATAATTCTCTTGAAATTTAAATAGAATCATTATCAAATCCCATCAACATAAACCTATGATCTCTTCCATTGGCTAATGAGTAATGAATGCATTCTCGGGTGACTCAACATAGAAACTCCTCATGATTTGTAGCGGTAAATCCACCTTTTAATTTTTTTTTTCTTCCAACTTATTTAAAGGGTTATTTATATTATATAATATAAATAATATATTAATATTATATTTATATATAATTGGGCAAATTGCATAAAAAAAACTTCATTAACTTTGTAAGGGCCTTTTTGACAATAAGTCAAAAAGTAACCTCATTCGGCTAGCTGGAAGGCTTCTTTTATATATATATATATATATATATATATATATAAATATTTTACAAAAATATATAAAATAAGAGAGTTACTGTAAGACACTATAAAACTTTAAAATTAAAGGAGTTTAATGCAATTCATCGTCCGAATTATTTAAATCATTATTGGATTAACAAAAAATTGATTATAAGAGAAACTATATAATACTTAAGGTATTTTGACACGTGATATCTCACTCAACTAATTCTTTATACTTCTATATATATATATATATATATATATATATATATATATTAGCACCGAAATGGATGACACTGGTAAGAGTTGTATGTGCAATGAATGTTGAACAAAATGAAGGGAAATGGCACAGTTCCGGTGCCAAAAATCACGAACAATAATTGATGGTATTTGGTCTTTGTGTTCAGATGAAATTATGGAAAAATATGTTGACTTCAGGTTGGGCCCACAAAAATCATGATCTTGGGGTGGTATGGGCAAGATATAAATGGGGTCCGAGACCTTACCCATCGACTTGACTGTACCCGGGATATTGTACAATCGTACTTGATTTGGTTTAATATCCATCTTTTTGTGGATCTATCTATTTTTGGTGTATCCACTTGGATGCTGCTCTCTAATGCCTCATTCATGTGTTCTCTCTCTTCTACAATCGCTTCCCACTTATTTCTTGTGAAAAATGTACTAATTTCTAGGGTAAAGTGTAAGAAACCCTTTTATACTTTACTCTCTCTTCCGAAAATATCCCTTCGAACTATTTTTTTTAATAGGAAACTTCCTAAATCATCCGATTTTTTGCAAAAGCAACCAAATGACACTATTTCGTTAGTTTTTGACCGTAAAGTAGTCACCTGACCTATGCTATAAATTGAAAATGACAATCTTACCCTTTCTAATTGGCCCCAATCGAACCATCAACCCCGACTCCACTCTCTCCATTCTCTGCAAATTGCAATATCTTTCTATGCTCTACAACCTTTCGACAATCACAGACGAAACCCACCTCTCTCTCTCTCTCTCTCTCTCTACTCACTTTCCCCATATTTAATCAACTTAATTTCCAAACAGCCAAACCTCAAAATATCAAAGCCAAATAACTATTTGATTCTCTGTTTCTGCTACTATTTTTAGAGAGAGGGCCTAATCCCAAAACCCACCTAATCTATGAATATATCAAAAAGAGATTACAAACAGTATGCAAAATAAATGAATTTTAGTTACATTTGTATTTGATTTGGTTTTGGATTCTTAGGGACCGAGGTAGGTAAATAATCCATAGAGTGCTGTTTGGTGGTCGGCGGTGGCGCCACCGCCGGCTGTGGTTGTCTGCGTATGGATCGCCATAGAAGATGGGTTTGCAGGTGGTCGTCGGTGGGTGGTGGTGGTCGTCGGCTGGTGGTGGGTCGGTATACGTCTGTGTATAGGCTTGCACGAATGTTATTGATAAGGATGAAGGTGGGGATGTTGGTGATTGATAGTATAGTAACCTTTGTCAAAAACATTGGTGACAATTTGGTAGATAAGAGATGCTCAGCCAATGCAAAAAGGCAAGTGCAGGAGTGTCTTTGCATCCTGCGCCTTTCATTTTCAGTCCAAGTCCTCTAAGATATTAAGATCAGAAGGAATAAATAACACCAAACCATTTTTGGTGATTGATCAGAAGGAATAAATGAATTCTGTTATTCTAATTTCATCCAAACACATACGTTTATTCCTTTTAATGAAATGAAGATAAGCACTATATATATATTTACAAAGATAATACATAGATACCAAAGGTTCCGATTCCAAGCAGACAAGAAAATTCATCAACGCATCTCTCTCTTGATCGCATGTCTTCTACGCTTTTCAGGAGGTGAACAGAGAAAACAATATTACAAAAGGTTCCAATAATTGTGAGATAAAAGATGATAAAGATGTGATGATTTGAAAAATAAGATAATAAAAATGTGTTTTAATTTTGGTTTTTCTTATCATCAATATGGATGAGCTCAATGGCTGAAGGAGCTATGGTTTCTCGGATGGGTATCTGAGTTAATTGGGTAGTGGTCTGGTTGGTTGGTATTTGGCACTACAATAAAATGTGGACTGTAAGGTGGTGTTTGGCACTAAAATGATAAGGGCAATTTCGTAATCTAATGTTTCCGGCGAGTTCCGGTGTCGGTAAATTTGAATTTTGTTCTAATAATTTAGGAGCATTACTTAGTTCAGACCAGTTTTATGATTTTGATCAATAATTGAAGAAAATTTATTACTCTTTATCCTAATTTTTATTCACTCTACAAATATATATTAATCACAGTATTTACCAATTACCTAAAGTGGTTTGGTGATACAAGCAGAACAAACACAATGACTATCCACTTATGTGACAAGACACTGACATCTGACAAGCATAGTTGAAAGTGGATTATTAATTTTCTTTTCAATTGGTTGGAACAAATCAATTATAGAAGTTTTGTATATCTCTTCAATATTTTGAAATGATCAAATATTACTATTATGCATATGGTTCGATTTCCGTTATTTTAGTAAAGGTAAAGTGCAAAAAATTTCTTTAAATTTTTTTTTAAATTTGTAAATAATTCCTTTAAATTATATTTTGTATACAAAACTTCCTAAACTATTTCATTTTGTTACAATATACCCTAAGTACTATATTATATTTCATTAAATGACATTAATGCCCTTCTTATTAAATTACATTTAATATATTTTTCTTATCTAAATAAATTATGAAAAAAATCATACTAATTTGATGAGATATTTTCATTAAATTTGCATAAATTTACTTTTAATTTTTTTAATGAATTATTTGAATACAAATTTTTAGTAGAATTTTTTTAAAAAAAATTAATTAAATTTTTAATTTTTAATGAATATATAACATGAAAAGAAAGTATTTTTTTAAAAAAGTATTTTATTAATTTTTCATCAATATATTGTATGAAAAAGATGATATTTTTTTACGATAAAAATGTTGAAATTGGTTATAAAACGTTTTATTATAAATAATAAAATTTTAATAATAAGTTAATCAATTTAAAAAATGGTAGTTACAAATTTATTTATTTATTTTTTTTTTCGTTTTATGATAAATTGATACTAAAAATAAAATTAAGGTAAATAGTATAATTAATATTTACATAAGAGAAAAGATAATAAAAATAATTTAATAAGAAATAAAAATTTTAATGAGAAAGGGTAAAATAGTCTTTTTATAATGAATTTGTCCTTAATTGTAACAAATCAATAATTTAAGGAAGCGGTTTTTAATTCAAGAGGTTATTTGCAAAAGAACAATAATTTAAAGGGATTTTTTTACGCTTAACCCTTTTAATAATTATAAAATCAATATGGTATTAACGTTTCACAATTTAAACATGCACTCCATATTAAGTTACTATCTTGACCCGCATAATTCAGTAAAGCCATATTAATTTTCTAAGCTTTACAAATAAACCTAAAAAATGTCAATCAAGTAATTACACTTACGTAAAATCTTATTTACTGCAAATATTCATTCCTCATACTTAAATTGATATTTCACACCATCTTCAATTTCAAGCTAGCCGCAGATCACATGCTAGTAAATTCACAGATAAGATCAAAATAACTAGGTTTTATTGATGAATGTACCTGAATATTATTAAATAAAAAAGCTAGCATTATACATACAGTAACCCTGTGTGAGGAAGAATCACGTGTTACTTTCCTACCATCCAAATCGTACCCACAAAAATTGCAAGTTGCAACGCAAGAATTTGATTGTTGCACGTGTAACTTGTACTAGCCCACTCACACACTTTACATCCTTAAATTTTGACACAAATCTCAAGATCCACAAAGTCTCTCTCTCTATTAATGCCGTCTCATCGTGGACCCCATTCCAAGACCTACCAGATTTCAATACCTCCACCCATCCATGTCTCTTCTTACCCTCCACCCCACTGTCGGCGACTTCTATATATTAACACTACAATCATATATATATATATATATATATATATATATATACCAAATGTTACCAATCCCATTCCTATAGCATTTCTCATGAATTTTTTGTTTTATTTTTCTTTTCATTATTATATACAAATATTAAAATTTGCATCTAACTATAAAAAATAGATTAATATAAAAATTATATTGTCATTTGGCACACTAAATTCAGGAACAGATCCAAAAAAATTCATAAATCTGTGCTTGACTGAATTAGTAGTTCAGTACCTTACAATCAATTCAGTGCCCGCTCCTAAACTCAAAATTACACAATGAGTTAACTTTTAAAATTATTTATTAGTATTATTTTTTTTAACTTCATTTCAGGAAAATTAAAGTATCATTTTGTTTATTTTATAATATATATATATAGTAAGATCACTTTAACATTTGCTAAGTAATGATGGAAGTTGTACATTATTTATTTAAAAATTATAATAATACTAATTCAAAAAAGAGTTCATGACAACTAGCATGAGATTGATCTCACAGTAGCATTTCTAAAATTAATACTAATATGTATTATATGTTATATAAATAAAGAAAAAAAAAAACTAGCTGGCTTGTCTGTAGACTCTGTACTTTGCCTTTGGATTGAGGAGGCAAAAATCTTATAATTTGATATTATCCCTCCTTCCACTAACCTTCCAAATGCCCTAATTTACTTGCTTTATTCACTAATCACAACTCTACTAAAGACTCATCTCCCCCTTTATAAATTCCTCCCTCAACCTCCTCCTTCCAATGTAAAACCCCCCATTTCTCTCTCTCTCTCTATATATATATATTTCTCTCTCTCTCTCTAGCTTAATTATACATTAAATTTCAACAAATTAGAATGGCCTTGTCTACAATCTCAATATCTCCAAACAAGCTGAGAGATGATTTATATTGTTACTCATACCAAGAAGACTCACACACCCCATTAGTGATCTCTGTTCTTGCTTCTCTGATTGAGAGAACACTGGCCAGGAACGAGAGGATTGCCAAAAACTGCAAATGGGCATTGTCAACAAATGCCAAAGCTCGTGTTTTTGATTGCCATGAGACACCGGACATGACCATTCAGTCATACCTAGAGAGGATTTTCCGGTATACTCGCGCCGGTCCGTCGGTGTATGTGGTTGCCTATGTGTATATTGATCGGTTTTGCCAGATTCATCCCCAGTTTCGGATCAATGCTCGCAATGTACATAGGCTTCTCATCACCACTATTATGGTCGCTTCTAAGTATGTTGAAGACATGTAAGTCTCTCTCTCTTTTGGTTATTGAATACAGATTATGCAGAAAACATTTGGCCACTACAGAATAAGGGCTTGTTTGGCAATTTTTTCAAAACTGTTTATTGTTCTCGAAAACAAAAGGTTAAATTAAATTATTAACAGTCGAGTCTATTAAAATATGAAAATAATCCAAAATATGTGGAGCTTGTCTAAATTTCTTCGTCTTTGTTTGTGTTTGGAACAGGAATTACAGGAATTCATACTTTGCAAGAGTTGGGGGATTAACGACGAACGAAATGAACAAGTTGGAGCTTGAATTTGTGTTCATGATGAGTTTCAAATTGCACGTGAATGTGAGTGTGTTTGAGAGCTATTGTTGTCATTTGGAGAGGGAAGTGAGTATTGGAGGAGGTTACCAAATAGAGAGGACACTGCGATGCGCTGAAGAAATCAAATCCAAACAAAATAGTTACAATCAGACAACTCGTGTGATGTTGTAAATTGATTTGTAGAGGAAATTTTCTACACATCATATTTTTTGATTGCAATGGTGGTGAGATAATACTATGTACAGAGTGACATTAATGTATTTTGGTTTATGTGAATTTAGTGTTGAAGAATATAAATAATTAAGTTCACTCACTGTTGTAGATTAAGCATTGCAAGTATATAATTGTTAACTTCATGCGCGATTTACGTGAAAGAAATCAACACCAAAATTTTGAATGAAAACAAGATTAATTTAACATTACTAGGTTAAGAGGCATTCTAACGATTGTAGCCATGGATTCCTATCATTCAATTAGAGAGTTGATGTTGAAGCGGAGAGGGTGTATAGGTGTCACGGGCCTCAAGTTTCAAGCAAAGCAAGATGGCCCGTGCCGCAATCATCGCAGGGTTCAGCCTACACGACTTTCGCTATAAGGTTTCATGCTTACTAGTTTCGGCCTGTCTTGACCCTCTCATTAGGGGAACGGTTCCAGTTTTTGACTAGTTTGTGTAGACGATGATCCTCTGACCAGTTTGACTAACCTACACGCCCTTCCCTGAAATCCTTCTAGTCAAGTGTTTTTGCTTACCAACTAGCATGAGTGTTGTCCTTATACCCCAAAGTCGCACAGGACTTTGCCCCCGTAACAATAGGCCTCTACTATTTCTTATTATTTTATAAAAATTACTGTTGTGAGATTCAAATTAACATTCTCAGGCTTATCACTTGAACTTTAAATATTGCACCAAGCAATGACCTCCTTGAAAGCATTTTTTATTCTCATTTTTTTTAAATTCATGTAATTTATAAAAGATGTTTTCAAAACTAACCAAGGGCTTAGTTCAAACCAAATGAAATAATTGAGTTCAAGTTTGCAGCAAAAAAAGAGAAGTTCACGTGTAATTTATGGAGTCAAAAAAAAAAATTCAAAAAATTACCAATTGAGTATCTTCAATAGTGGAGGGACGAATCAAAAAATTATGTGAAAGGGGCGGCGGCAGCCTTTAACAACATCAAAATAAAATAAAAAATAAAAAAATTCAAACCATTGAATAAGAACAATAGTAAAATTTTTCTAAAATTCTAGACTTTCTAGTGGGGTAGTATTAAAATTTTATAGGTGTATAATCCCAATATAGCAAAAAAAAGCACATAATATAAAAAATAAATCCGTGCGTGAATCAATGCCACTGAAGCACCTCATGCATAAAAATTCATCACGCCTTCCACATTGAATGTTGTTTATGTAAGAAAATGTTATAATGAGGACGCAAAGGGTGAAATAATTGTTCTAAATAATATAGTCTCGTGAACCCAAATAAGGAGAAAGCGAACAAGTAATATAAAAAGGAAAATCAAACTTGCTAGTTGTATGAAAATAAAAATAAAAAATGAAACTATATAAAATTTAATTATTATTTTTAAATAGATGTTTTAATACAGCATAATCTTAATGTAAGAGAAAATATAAGAAATTGATTTTTCAGTAAGTAAATATAAGCAATTATTCATAAACCAAAAATATTTAATAACAGCCCTTAAACTAGCAAAAGGAAGAATTACAATTTTTTTTTTTTGGCTTTTCCAAAAAAGTAAGGTAAAAAGGGACCCAAATTATTATAGGCTTTAGCAGGGGCACCAATTAGACATCTTTTATATATTTAAAACTATAAAGGACCCATGGTAGTTATGAGGTTGAATATATTTAATTGTCAATCCGTTCTTTGATTATTTAGCAAAATAGTACTACTTTTATTATAATTATGCCAAATATATGTGAAGATGCAAGAAATTCGTTCCCTCTTTCTCCCTCTAGAATTCTTACACTTCAACCAAAAAGATCCCCCCCTCTCTTTCATTCATTCACTTATTTATAGATATTTACAAGATATTTACAAATATTGACTGATTGCTGGATCTGGGCCTATTCCTCCATAAGTCCTGGTCACCTTTGATGGGCTTACTCGCGTTCGGCCCATATGGCAGTGTCTTTATATGGGCCGACCCAGCTATACGGACCGAATGTAGTGCTTGCAAGTCGGATCCGGCCCATGTCGTCCTGGGCCTCCTCAACTGCCCCCATAATTGCCCCTTATTTAATAAGGGGTAATTATTGATAGCGTCTCATCATGATGTTGACGGCTCGAGAGAACCACGTGGGGGAACAGACGGTCAGATCCAGAATCAATGTTCCGGGGCTCGAGGAATTTCTCGCCTTCCCGACGCTTCGGCCCTCGGGCCCCCTCGCCTTTATAATGCTCTAGAATACCACTTCACGTCCTTTTACCGTCTCCATCATCAGTCAAATCTCTCTCTTTCTAGAACAGTGCTAAGCTTTTCCTGGTGAATTCCTTCAAGAGTCATTCTTCCAGCGATCTTGCAGTCCTCTGAGGTTAGTTTTGTTCCTTTTTACTTTCGGCAGGCTTCCATTTACCCCCTTTTAGATCCTTCAAGCACTTCCACCATGGTTGTAGATCTGGATGTTCTTCGTATGAGACTTAGACTTCCTGACAACATCGAAGTTAGGGTTTGCCCTCAGGACGTTAACATTATGACCGGCGCCGGCCTCCTGCCCGGCGAAGTCTTATTCACGAACCTTCAATTGAATGTTGTTAGGTTTCCTCTGCACCCTTTCTTTAGTTATGTCTTCAATAGATTGGGGATATCCCCCCTGCAGGTCAACCCCAACTTCTTTAGAATCATATCCGTTATGCTCTTGTTGATGCGTGACAGAAATCTGGACCTTGACCTTATAGACCTTCTTCTGTGCTATAAGGTCAGTAAGATCCGTACTAACGAACCCTTCTACCACCTCTACCCGTTCGAGAAGATGTCCATATGTACGGACACAATAAAATCTGAAAAGGGTTGGAGGGATAGCATCGTGGGCATTAGTGGGGCTTGGTCTTCGCCGGCTGCGGAGGGTTACCCAATCCCGAGCGCCTTTGGTGTCTGTTCTGTCTCCTCCTATAAGAAATTCAAATCTCATAAACATGATTGCCCCTGCGAAACATGCGTTCCCCGTTTTTGTACTTTCTTATGCCGTTCCTTAGGAATACCTTGTGATGACTTGAGCTACAGTGTTTGCAGGGATAGGAGTAACTACTTGAAGAAATACGTTCTGAACGATATTCCTTCCTGCTCAGATCTCCTCACTTCAGACAACCTCTTAGCGCTCTCATCACTCGGCTACAACATGAGCAGGCTTCAGATTCCTTCTTTTGGCAGGAAGAAAAATACTCCCCCAGCCACTCCTGCTGCTGGGGCGACCTCCTCTCCAGCGTCAGCCTCTTCCTCAGCCACCATCTCTGACACTGTCCCGAGCACAGTGGCTATTAACTCTGTTGCCAGCACCCCTGCTGCCAACCAGAGCGCGTCTCCCCAAACTACCACAGCTCCTGCTGCTGCGGGGGGCGTTCGGGACAAAGAACGAGGCAAAAGGCCTCATCCTGACAGTGAAGTCGATCCTGAGGAGGAGCCTCTCATAAGAAGGACCCGGGTCTCCGGGCCGGGTGCTCTCTTGCACCGTGCGATCAGAGCTCCTGCTCCCTCTGGGCCTACTGCAGCTGGTGGCTTCGCTTCTGCTTCAGGCCCTCCTTCTATCCCCACCTTACCGCCATGGGCCCTTCGGTACACCCGAACGGATGGGACGTTTGTGAAACCGAACGAGACCATGCTGAAGGATGGCCAGACCGCCATGGCCTACTATAGGAGCATATGGACTCCGAAGGACCTTGAGGCGGCAAAGGGCCTATCCCAGAAGGATGTGTTCAGCCGCTTTCCCCAATCTGCTATGGAGGTGACTTTTATTTTCCAACTCATGAATTCTCTCATATTATTTGGTCTTGCCTTCGCCTGACCTGACTATTGGCTTAACCGTTTTTAATGTGCACCTATGCAGACATTGTTCGGAATGATGGCCATGCAGAAGTAGGTGGAGATGGGGAACGCCAGGGCTCGTAAGTTTTCTGATAGCCTGGAGGTGGCTAATAAAGAAAACGACCTCCTCGCCATGAAGAATACTGAGGTACTGGCTCGGCTTGACAAAGTTGAACAAGAGAGAGATGTCCTAAAGAAGGAGAATGACTTCCTTCAGGATGAGAAGGACGCCCTCCAGCTTGAAAAGAGCGTCTGGCAGACTGAGCGTGACTCAATTAGAGAAGAAAAGGCAGAACTCCAGCGCCTTCTGGCTGATGAATAGTCTGCTCGGATGGCTTTTGAAAAAAGAGCTCTGGACGAGCGTACCGCCCTGATCGATGCGATCAGCAGAGTGAGTGGTGGGATGCTGGCTCTTCACGCTCGGTTCTCAAGGGTCGGTGCTCTTAGGTATGCTCAAGGATTCCGGGAAGGTTTCGCCGACCGGGTTCCGGATGAGGGACAGACCAGCTCCACTCCGGATGAGGTCGACAAGGATCTGGGGATCGAACCTCTGGGGGTCTATGTCGACCCAGAACCCACCGAAGCGGAGCGCATATTCGATGAGTGCCAGGACATTGCTTCCTCAAGGATCATCATAGCTCCTCCTACCGCTCTGCCTCTGACCGCTCCTCAATCGTCAACCGTGGTACCTTCCATAGCCACTGCTGACGCTGAGCCCCAGCCGAACGATTCAGTCATTCATCTTGATTCCCCACCTCGTGAAGGTGAGACGGCCGATGGGGCCGAGGAGGCGAGTCGGCACGACCAGGATGCTATTGGTACTGAGGCGTCTAGCTAGGGCTCCTTTGGACTCTTCCATTCCATATCTTTTTGTAATGATGGACATCTCTCTTTTGTAAACTCAATGCTCAATATCAATGAAACGACAGAACTCTTTTTCCCTATGTGTTGTGCTCTATTCAACTTATTTTCAATACATACATATCTTTTGTCTCTTTTTCTTTTATATTAGCTTTGCCGTGTGTTTGTTTATGGCAAGTGCCTGGCGCTCGGCTAGAATGCCACTTGCCACTTGGCTTTAAATTTTTAGCAAGTGTTTGGCGTTCGGCTCATGGTGCCAGCTGCCACTTGTCTTGCTTAAGTGCCTGGCGCTCAGCTAGAATGCCACTTGCCACTTGGCTTTAAATTTTTAGCAAGTGTCTGGCGTTCGGCTTATGGTGCCAGCTGCCACTTATC